TCGTCGTGCTCTTCATTAGTATGTAGAGAATTTAAAGCCCTCCGCCCCGCTGCTTGAAACGCGTTCTCCGGTCCTCCATCTACTTCGTTTCGCCCCCGTCGGCCCGCTCCTTGTCGCCTATTAGCGAGCGATGGTGATTGCTGGAGAGCCGTGGCCCTCACCATCGCGCGCTGCCGCTGTGTCAGCGGTGAGCGGAATGTCCCCGTCTGCATCTGCCTCGGCGGCTGTTGCAATGAAGCCGCCAGTCCCGCCTGCCCTGAAACCGGCGCCCTCTGTCGCAGTTGCCTCTGTGGACCCGCTCCCTGTGGCGAGCGCGGCTCTCCCGTCGCCACTGCCTGTTCCGTCGCCACCAGTCGCCGGCTCGGACCCTCCGCCTCCCGTCGGGGCTCCTGTATCCGCTGCTCCTGCTGTTCCGTCCGTCGTCCCCGCGGGCGCTGTGGCGCCTCCTGCTGTGGCTGACCCCGCTGTTGCCCCGCCCGTTCCTGGTGTCCCTGTAGCAGCACCCGCCGTTGTTGAGCCTGTTGCGCCTGCTGCGGCCGTTGCTTCGTCGCCGATGGCGGTGTCCGCCACCACTGGCGGCCAGGCCCCGGTTGTGGCGCAGGCGGTGCCGGCTCCAGCGGCACATCCCGTTGCGCCTGTGGGGCAGCCGCGGGGCCAGCCGTCACCTGGCCGTCGCTCCTCGCGTCCCCATTGTCCTGCTCCCCGTGACGAGCGAGAATCGTCGCGCCGGCGCCGCGACTCTCCCCGTCGTAGCCGCCCACCGTCAAACTGGCAGCGTGGCGGTCGAGGCGGTTGGGGAGGGGGTCGCGGTTATGGCGGTGGCCCGGCGCATGTTCCTCCTCCTGTGTCCCTTGCGGACGTTCAGCGCGTCGTCTCAGCTGCAATTCGCGAGGAGAGGGCTGCGCAGCGCCTTGCGACGGCTCCTCCAGCTCCCTCCCCCGTCTCTGTTCCTGTGGCAGCGTCTCCTCCTCCTGTAGCTGCGGCTCCTCCACCACTCGCCCCTGATGCTCCTGCTGCGGTTCGTGGGCATCACATGGTCCCGCCAAGGGTTCCTCCTGCCGCGCCACCTCCTCATTCCGCGTCTGGTGACACGCTGGCGTTCCCGGCATTGGGGGGACCTCCTCGCATGGCTGAGGTTCCCGAGGCGTCTCTTGGCCAGCTGTGGCGCCTCGCGGAGGGCTTGCGGGCCGTGCACCTGATCCAGGCGCGCGGTCATGCTGCTTTCTCCCATGGCGGCTATCTGGATGGTCGCCAGAGGGACGAGCTGCTTGATGCCGCTGATCGTCTCGCGGAGTTGCTGGCGCCCGTGTTGGCTGAGCCCGTGATGGGCGTAGTTGCGGGGGTTGGGCAGCTCGGTACTGCTGTCCGTGGGCTGCGGCGGATTTTGCGCGCAGGTTCAGGAGCCGATGTGATCGGCGCAAGCACGGCGGCGGTGCGGGAGCTCCACTGCTCTCTGACTGGTCTGCTGGCGGTTCTTGATGCCGACCAGTTCAAGTCCTCTCCTCGTCTTGCTCCATGTGTTTCTTTAGTCCCTAGCGGTAGGCCTTGCCATGGAATGTATGTCAATGATTGATGTCTCTTGTTTGTGATTGCACTTGCCACCCCTCACGCGCGGCCGAAGGCCGCGCCGTCGAGCGTCGGCCGCCGAAGGCGGCCGGCGCGAGCCGCTGGGTTAGGAGGAATGAACCCACGAAATGAGTAATGAGCCAAGCACCAGGCCCACAGCCTTACATAGCAGAGCTAGGGGCGGCTGAGAGGCTGAGAGGCTAAGGGACTAGGGGACTATGCCTCTCTCTCTCTCTCGCTCTCTCTCTCTCTCTCTCTCTCTCTCTCTCTCTCTCTTTCTCTCTCTCTCTCCTGCTCGGTTGGGAGAAAGAATCCAACTTCAGACTGAATAATGAGAAGCTAGGCAGGCAACAAGGCCTTTAATACTAGGCAGGAAGGGGAAGGAGAGGCTAAGGACTAAGACTATGCCTCTCTCTCTCTCTCTCTCTCTCTCTCTCTCTCTCTCTCTCTCTCTCTCTCTCTCTCTCTCTCTCTCTCTCTCTCTCTCTCTCTCTCTCTCTCTCTCTCTCTAATGGTCCGTATATTGATAGGTCAGAAAAGTACACACAAGCAAGATAGAACAACCTAGAACAAACAAACAAAGCCACAGAGCCAAACCGCTGTCCCCCCCTAGAGCTCTAGGAGAGGCTCTACCACTGCAAAACAGTCCCCTAGGTGCATCTTCTGCCCGATTCCTCCTACGGGTGGGTTCTGTGCCGCCGCCGCCTCACCCAACTTGAATAGGAGTCCCACGGATTTAGCCCTCTGAAGGGCCACTGACCACCTCTGCCTGGATTGGTGCAGAAACTTGGCGGCATAAAAAGATTTTGAGTTGGCGTTGAAGTGGCGCCGAGCCATAGTGTCTGCTAGGAGCTTGAGGAAGACAGGTACCTCGGCGCATGGGCAGCCGTAGGTGTCTACCGCCAGTGGGAAGAAGCCAACTGTCTCCAGGCGGTTGGCATAATGCTTGATTTTCTTATCGGCCTGTTCACGTGTCGCCCATCCTCTGCCTTTTTGTGCCTCCGGGTCCCTCGTGCTGATGGGGTCAGTGATGGTAACGTCACAGATGTAAACCGCCCCACTGCTTCTATCTGTCATGCTGAAATCGGCCGTCTGTTCTTCGACCGGGCAGTATGGGGCCGACGCCCAATGAACTAACGCAGGCATCCCGTAGCTCGTTGTGGGTGTTGATGCGCTGTTTGCCCGTACCGCAGCGGAGGAGGTGATTCGGGAGGCGGGGGTCTGTGATAGCCGTGTGGTCAGCGCAGTCACAGTTCTTTGGAGTTGAAAACGGTAACCCTAGTCTGAAACGCACGGCGTTGGCGAAGTGCACTGGCCCTATCCGCCGTGTGGGTTCGATGGGGATTGCCGTGATCCAGTCGCCAGTGCCATAACCAGTCAATGAGAACATCCGCTTCGTGTGACCCTTGAGCGGATTCGGCTGCATACGCCTTGTCGCCTGGACCTGCACGGCGTATCTGCTTCCGTGGACCTTGAGTCCGAGTATATGTTGAAGCCTAATGTCAGACCTTTCGAGCCATTCCTTCTCTAGGATCTCCTTTGCATCCAGGGGCAGGGCCGTCTTGCACTCTATGAGCCATGCGTGCAAAGGGGTGCTGTTGTCCCGTGGCAGTAGCATGTGGTTTAGCGCCCGTGCCAAAGCGTTCCGTGGGTCTAGCTCGATGGAGGAGAGGAACAATGCCGCCTGTGTAGAGCTCGCCGTGAAACCGTATATCCCCTTGATTAGGGGGTCCGTGATGCCTATGCCTCCTAGCGATGGCGGCAGCGACGCTTGATCCCAGACACACGCTTGCTCGGCCCTACACGTGGGGATGCGTATGTCGTACGATGTGAGCAAAGCGATGAGGAGGTCTCTTCCCCACCGGCTCCATTTTTTGCGGGGGAGGAGGTGCAGAGGCGTCGTCCGAGTGAGGTATGCTACCCGTCTCGATATGCAACGCGTGATGAGCAGTGCAGCTACTTGGGGATCGGTACGTTCGATAAGGGGTAACGGCTTCGCCATCTCGATGAGTTGGCCCGCTAGGAATTTTGCTGCCCCGTTATCCGGCCCCTGGAAACTCCCAAGGAGCTGTCAGAATCAAGAAGTGATGAACTAGAAACATTTGGGAGTACAAGTATGAAACCCTAGAGAAATGTACACCCTAAAGGCTAACCCACTGTAGCCTACAAAACAGAAACATATACAATGTTTGACACACCCCCATAGGCTAAGTGGGGGAGAACAAGAGGTCACAAGACCAGTCAAGAAAGGCAAAACAAGCTCAGGGTGGATCACAAAGTCACCACACACTCTGAGCACAAGCAAGAAACATATATGTAACACAAGCATCACAGTGATCTATACCTAGCAAAGCAAGCATGCAGGTATATATATATATATAGATCACAGTACAGGCAGAGTCTACAACAAGTGAGGAAAAGTGGGCACAAGCCCTAGCAAAGTGCAGAAACGCTGATGATCACCAGACTGAAGCGCCTTGGTGAATATATCAGCAGTGTTGGCCTGAGTGGCCACGTAACGCAGACGAAGCTGACCACGCTGCTGCAACTCTCGAGCCAGAAAGTAACGTAGAGCGATGTGCTTCGTTCTGTGCTCCAGTCTATGCTCCTCACACAAGGCAATGGCAGCCTTGTTGTCGACGTACAGCACTGGAGGAGAACGAGGCCGCTCTCCCAGGTCGGTCAGCAGGTAGGTGAGCCAGCGTAACTCCTGTGCAGCCATGGCTGTGGCGTAGATCTCAGCCTCACAACTGGAGCTGAGAACTGAAGACGAACGTGTAGAACGCCACGAAACTGAGCCAGAGCCAAGGCTGAAGGTGTAACCCTGTGACGACCGCTGAGTAGCCTGGTCGTCAACCCAAGAAGCGTCTGAGTGCCCAGTGAGAACAACTGGGCTCCCTCCTCCAAGCACGAGCCCCATGCCCGATGTACTGCACAAGTAGCGCAATACCCTCTTTGCAGCATCCCAGTGCACCTTTCGGTGCCTACCAGGAGCCACGTAGCGGGCCAGAAGGCCAAGAGGGTACGCAAGGTCAGGACGAGTGCAAGTCATCAGGTACATGAGGCAGCCAACTAGCTCTGGGTAAGGACCACTCGGCTCTACGGACTCATCCGAAGGCAGAGCTGAGAGCGAGTGACCTGTAGCCAGAGGAGTGGCCTGTGCTGAGGACCAGGTGAAGCCGAAGCGCTGAAGGACCTGCTGCACCATGTGTGAGTGAGTCAGTGTGATGGTGCGGCGTGCTCTGTCCCGGGTGATCTGCAAGCCAAGGTAGCTGCGCAGTTCACCCAGGTCTGTACACGTGTGTCTCTTCTGCAGCTCGGACTTCACCAGGGCGAGGGCCTCAGTGTCAGCAGTAGCAAAGACCAAGTCGTCGACGTACACGAGGATATAGAACGGCGGCAGCGAAGTGTCGGTGCGTAGAAACAGTGAAGGGTCAGCAGTCGAAGGCGCAAACCCAAGAGCCGCAAGGGTAGTCCTCAGCTGTGCTGAAGTCAAGAGAGTGAAGCTCGTAGCCACGCTGAGCAGCAACGTGCAGTAGCACCCAAAGAGTGGTCATCTTCGGGGTGGGGGAGAAGGTCTGAAAGAAGTCTACTCCCTCTCGCTGACTGAAGCCTCGAGCAACGTAACGAGCCTTGAAGACAGGCGGAGAACCTGGCGGCCGCTTCACCCTGAAAATCCACATGCCACTGACGATGTTCGCCCCAGGAGGGGGAACCTCGTTGACGTAAGTGCTAGTGGACTTCCACGATGCCATCTCTGCGTCCATGGCTGTCAGCCACTGAGAGGAGTAGGGACCCGCGATCGCCTCAGCGTAAGAGCGCGGGGTAGGGATGTCTGGAGCATCCGGGTCTCCCTCAGGGGCAAGCAGCATGGACACGAGATGAGGCGCAGCGGCTGCAAGACACTCAAGGTCCTCCTGTCTGTCCTCAAGGACGTCCGTGCCAAGAGCACACTCACCCCCGACGGACGGAGGACAGACAGACTCGACTCATCAACAAGACTCGCGGCGTAGTCTAGACGACAGCGAGCAGCAAAGTCGACAAGCTCAGCAACTAGGGCAGACGCAGCAGCAGACTCAAAGGAAGGGTCAGTGACAACAGTGGCCAGGAGACGCGTGACAGTAGGACTGGCAGCACGAAGAGAGTCAGACTCTGGGTCAGCAAGAACAGGAAGAGAGGACGCAGGAGGAGACGGCAGAGGGACACGCTGTGGAGTAGTGGACGGACGCAGAGTCATATAGTGTGTGCCAGGGACAGGTGGAGGACGCTCACGCGGAACACGGCGACCAGTGCGAGCAGCACGAACAGGTGACACTGGACGAGACACAGGCGACACAGGACGAGACTCAGGCTCACGACGCTCTGTAAGACCGCCTGTCGGACCAGTGTAGGGAGAAGGACCAAGAAATGGCGAGGCAGGCGGTAGCTGTGACTGCGACTGGACAGGCGGAGGACACGCTAAGGAGGGAGGAGGACTAGGAGGAGGCGACTGACCAAGAACCTGCTGAAGGAGCGGAACGAAGTACGGCCGCGGCCGTGAAGTGCCCCCAGAAGCAGCAGAGACAGCACCAGAACCTCCTGCCGAACCAGCACCAGCAGCACCTCCAGCAGCTCCAGAGCCTCCAGCAGCACCAGCAGCACCTCCAGCAGCTCCAGTACCTCCAGCAGCACCAGCAGCACCTCCAGCAGCTCCAGGACCTCCAGCAGCACCAGCAGCACCTCCAGCAGCTCCAGCACCTCCAGCAGCACCTCCAGCAGCTCCAGGACCTCCAGTAGCAGCAGGGCCTCCAGCTGGCGGTACCTCAACACCAGGAGCTCCACTCCGGAGGCTGCAGCGCCGAGCGTACCACTCACGCAGCTGCTGTGAAGAGGGAGCGCCAACAGGCGCAGTACGGCCAGTCTCAGAACCCCCAGCCTCAGCTCCTCGAGGCTCAGCACCCCCAGTCGCAGCACCCCCAGGCTCAGCACCCCCAGGCTCCGCACCCCCAGGCTCAGCACCCCCAGGCTCAGTACCCCCAGACTCCGCACCCCCAGGCTCAGCACGCTCAGCACCTCGCGCAGGACCAGAGTCAACAGCTACCTCGACAGGCTCGACCGGGTCTACCTGGGAAACACCTGAGGGAGCAGGACCCTGGGGAGGAAGGGGGTCTACCGACGGGACACCTGGGGTGAGGAAGAGCGGCGGGGGGGGGGGAGCGGGGCAGTGCGGTAGGGGAAGAGACAGTAAAAGGGAACCGACTCGTCAAAGGTGACGTCCTGAGAGGGGAAGACACGGCGCGAGGTGGGGTGGTAAAACTGCCAGCCATGCGCGTCAGGGACAAAGCCAAGGAAGACACAGGGAACGGCACGGGAGGAGAGCTTGTCCGCGGACGTATCGCGGACAAAGGCTCGACATCCCCAGACTCGGAACACCGACGCATCGCCAACCTCCCCCGTCCAACGCAGGGTAGGCGAGGTCTCCGGAACAGAGACACGGGGCCAGAGGTTGAGCTGATGCGTGGCGTACCGGACCGCAAACGGCCACAGGAAATGGGGGGCAGCCGCATGGATCATGGAGGTACGAGCGACCTCCATGACGAGACCAATGCGGCGCTCAGCAACCCCATTCTGCTGCGGAGAGGCCGGGAGAGTGAACGTCTGGCGGATACCGTGTTCCGCACAGTAGGCTGCCAAGAGGTCAGAGGAAAACTCGCCACCTCTGTCAGAGTGCAGACGTAGGACAGGAAAGTCCGACTGGAACCGGTCGCGGAGCTGGAGACGAGCAGCGCGGATCCAGGGGATCAAGACATCAGGGACCTCACCCTTGGTACGCAAGGGGAAGACCGTGGTGTAGCGCGTGTAGTCGTCGACGACCAGCAGAAAGTACCGCTCGTGGCCCTGTCCCCGGACGCGGGCGGGGCCCCACACGTCCAGGTGGAGAGTTTGCAGAGGAGCCTCTGTGGGAGGGAACGAGGAAGAGTGAGGAGCGGCGCGCTGCCGCCCCTCGACACAGGGAAGACAGGGAGGAGCAGGTGAGGGCGGTAGGGGAGGGAGAACCCTGGGAAGACCAGAAACAAGGTACCTGGAGTGCATGCCGCGAAGGCGCTGCACTGACGGGTGACCAAGGCGGTGGTGCCAGAGGACAAACCTGTGCAACAGGGAGCGACACGAACAGGGGACCGACAGCTGACCTGACGCAGACGCAGACGCAGCTACCTGAGGGGACTCAGTGGTCAGTATGTACACCGGCTGCCGAGTGAAGGTAGCCAGGTGACGACCCGTCTGGGCACACGTGCAGTGTGTCACACGCTCGTAGGCAGGGGTGAACTGGTGAACACCCGCGTCCTGGAGCGCGGAACCCGCCACCAAGTTCGTAGAGAACGAGGGGAGGTAGAGGCCCGACAGCGTGCCGGACGGGACAGCAGGACAAGGGAGGGCAGTGGTGGAGGTCGCAAGGACCGGACCCCCTGAGGGGTCAGCCAGGGAGACAGCAACCGGTCTAGGAAGCTGCTCGAGGGCAGTGCGGTCGCGAAAGAAACAGCGGGAAGCACTTGAGTCCAGTGTGAAGGTGTGCAGTGCCTCAGTAGGCGCGGTACCAGCAGACGCAGACGCACGAGCACCTAGCGCAGCAGCCTTACCAGGACCTAGAGCAGCAGACGCACTAGCACCTAGAGCTGCAGCCTCACTGGTCCCAATACCCGGGTCGGGCGGTACACTCAGGTAACAGTCACCCTCAACACTAATAGTCAATGCATACATAGCAGCAAGAATAGCATCATAATCAAGAGCAAAGATATCAATCCCCTTCTTAAGCAGATCAGCCCAGCGGGGCAGCTCAGAGGCGTCAGGAAACTGCTCGCGCCAGGCGTCGTCGAGGCGAAAGAAACAGCGCTGCGCCGTGTGAAACCTCCCACAGGTCTGGCCAGTGCGGTCACCTGTGCGAATAACGTACGTGCAGGTACCTCCACCCCCAGACCCCCCACGCTGAGAGTACCACTCACGGAGCTGCTGGGGCGACGGGGTGTCGCTGGGACACTGCGGCTGCTGCCTCTAGCCGCCGCCGAGCCCGCCACGCTGCACCGTTCCACCGCGCCTTCCACCAGCTCCACCGCCGCCACCACCGTCACCACCACCCCCGCCACCTCCACCACCGCTGCCTCCACCACCCCCGGCTCCCCCCCCCCCCCCCCCACCACCAGCACCACTCCCACCACCGCCGCCACCGCTGCCGCCCCCTCCACCTCCTCCACCACTACCTCCCCCACCGCCACCTCCGCCACCCCGTCCCCCCTTGCCCCTGCCGCCCTTGCACCGCCCACTGGGAGCGTACGCAGTTCCAACCCCCTCAGCACCTAGGAAGTCGACAGCAGCAGCAGATGCAATGGAGGGTAGAAGGGGGGAGGGGGAACATCCCTCAAAAAAGGGAGTGCGAGGGTCGCCACGAGAGGCACCTACAGCTACAATGCTCTTCTCAGCTGCTAGGAGTTCCTTCTCGAGGAGGTCGACAGTGAGGTCAGTGGGGGAGAGAGCGAGAAACTGGTCCCTGACAGCGCGAAGAGAGTCAGGGAGGCGAGTGACTAGGAGGTAGAGGGTGAGGTACATCGGGGGGGGGGGTTCTTGGCTAGGAAATCGGGGGGGAGCGCGGCACGGTAGCGGAGATCACTAGTACAGAGGTGAGTGATGAGGTCAGCTATAGTGGCAAAGGCAGACAGATCCAGGAAGAGATAGGGCAGTGAGAGACGGCCTATCGCAGCAGTAGCAGGGGAGGAGTAGCGTGCAACTACAGCGTCGTACAGCTCCTTAGCGGTCTTATGCTGGCCGAAGTGCTCGCGCTCATCTAACGGCAGGTGGCTGCGAACGGCTAGGCGAGCATGGGCGTCATGAGTCTGCCACAGTGAGCGAGCAGTACTGTCAGCAGTAGCAGCAGGTGCGGGGGCAGCGCCGGACATGTGGTCATATAGGGAAACGTCGTCCTTGGCAGTGATCTGAAGGAACAGGTGTAGGTCATCTAGCCAGACATCAAACTTAATCGGCCGGCCCTCAGCGTCAAAAGTGAGAACAGTGGGACTGGCCATAGTGGCAGTAGCAGTAGGAGCAGTAGCAGTAGCAGCAGTAGCAGTAGCAGTAGCAGTAGCAGCAGTAGCAGCAGGAGCAGCAGTAGCAGTAGCTGCTGCACGTGGGGCGGCGCGGCTCGGTCAGGGCGGCGCGATTCGGGCGGCGCGGCTCGGGCAAGGCGGCGCGGCGCGGTTCGGACTAGGCTATGCGGCACTGCCACCCCGTACTGTAGCGGAAGAAAAAAATCGCGGGCCGCTTCTCCCATGGCCAACAGGGCAGCCTTGGCTGCCAGCCTCGTCAGGCATTTGCCAATCGCGATTGCTGCGTCGCGTAGGTGTTCGAATGTCATGCCTGACGGACCCGCTCCCACCCCATTCTCGCACCTTCCCAAAATTTTGGCGAAATCCGGGTGGGGGATTGACAGCTTTGACCCTTGTGGCACGGGCCACGTCACTGCCTCGTGTCCAGCCGGTGGGTGCTTTTGGCGCAGCTCCTCCAGTATTTCTGGGCTGGGAGTGCATACGGGCGTTGACTCCAGGGCCAGCACAGCAGGGCGCAAGCTGCCACGTTTTGCCAGGCCCTCCGCACGGCTGATGACTCCAGTCGCATCCGGCCGGTGCCGTGGCGGTGGCGGTGTGTTGACTGCGTCCAACGCGTCCCGGTACAACTGTTCCCATTCGCCACGCTGGAAAGCTCGGAGCCGGGCCTTGACATTTGGCCAGTTCGGGCGCTGTGGTGAGGTCTGGCAAAGTGTTAGACGCGGGAGAAACAGCAGCAGGCGCGAGGCCGTTTCCGATTCTGGGTTTTGCGATAGGTGAAGTTACGAAGTCAGTAGCGCTAGCGAAAACAGCTGACACAGGTTTGGCGGTAAACGCCGCGACAGTGAGGGCTGACGACTGTCGCATAGTGCTGCAACGTCCCAACTCACGATGGCAGCGAACAAGTCTGTCCGCTTCGCTAACTCGTCGGGTGAAAAATAGCGGGGAATTGGCGCAGAGGGGCGTGTCGCGATAGTGGCAGCGGCGGTTCGATTTCGCCCAGCTCGGCTCGGCCTCGCAGGTGGGTTCAAGGTTGGAATTTCTGCCGACCGATCAGCATCGGACGGTGGTTGAGCCACTAGAGTCTCCCGCTCCGGTGTCTGTCCTACTACCGTATCCCTTCTCCCTGGTCTCTCCTTCGCCCTGTCTTCCTCTTCCATCTCCTCGTCCTCACTCACAGGGAGGGCTTCTTCCCTATAAGACGGGTCGTTTAACTCGTATTCTTCATTAGTAGCCTCCATATTATTTAAAGCCAATCTTGTCGCTGCTTGGTACCCGTTCTCTGGTCCCCCACCTGTCCCTCTTGAGGCTTGTCTCCTTGCCCCGCGGCCTCCCTGCTCCGGAGATGGTGATTGCCGGTGTTCCTGAGCCGTCACCAGAGCGCGTTGCCGCCTGGTCGGCTGTGGCTGCCAGGCCTCCGCGGGAGCCCGAAAGGGCGACCATGGCCCCGAAGCCCCCTGTAGCGCCGGCTCCGAAACCCGTGACAACAATCTCTGAAAAGACTCCTCCCCACGCACCCGCGGATCCCCTTGCTGTGCCAGAGGCTGGCCCGTTTGCCCCTGTTGCTGTTCCGTCCGCTCCGACTAAGCCCCCTGGCCGAGCCGTCGACGTCTGCTCCCGCTGGGGGTGTTGCTGATCCCCCTGCTCCTGTCCCTGGCGCCCCCGTTGCGCCGCCCGCTTCTGTCCCCGGCGTGCCTGCTCCAGCTTCTGCCTTGTCACCGAATGCGGCATCCGCCACCACTGGCGGCCTGGCTCCGTTGATTGCGCCTTCAGCGGTGGGTCAGTCCGCGCCTGCTGTGACGCCGATGGTCCCGGCAGGTCAGCCGTCACGCCCCCCGTCGCCCGTCTCGCCCCCATTCTCTCGCGCCCTACCAGGAGCGCAAGTCGTCTCGTCGCCGGCGTGATTCTCCACGGCGTTACCAGCAGCAGCCGCACTGGCCTGCTCACCCTGGTGGTCACGGGGACTGGAGGGGTCCCCGAGGGCACGGCGGTGGTGAGGGGTACCGTCCGCCTGTGACGATGGCGGATCTTCAGCGGGAAGTGTCAAGGGCGGTACGTGAGGAGAGGGCGGCGCAGAGCCAGAGCAGTTCGATGCGCGCCTCGCCAGCCCTTGAGGCTCCTCGACAGACTGTGCTCCCCTTGAGTCCGCCGCCTGTCGCTGCGCCCCCACCTCCGATTCACGTCCCGCCGGCTCCTGCTCCCACTGCCTCGGCACCTCCCCCCGGTTCTCGTCTTCATCTGCCACCGGTTCCGAGCCTTGTGTGTGCATGCTCATGGACATGGCACGAATCAGATCCCGCCTGCGCGCCATAGTGGCCGCTATAGGTATCGCTACAGCTGCACCTGCTCCCAGAACAGCTGCTGCCCCTGCTGCAGCCAGTGGCACGTGGGCCACTCACTGGGCGGCCTACTGCCGTGCGGTGAGCTTCGCGGCCTTCCTTGCGCTGGTGGCGAGGTTCCCGCGCGTGGTGAACCTCAACATCTTTGGTGGTGACGCCGCCGTGTATCCCGTTATTGCAGGCGAGCTTGGCGCGGGCATGCAGGTGGAGAGCGACTACTTCGCGTCCATGCTAGTGCAGGTGCTGGGGGTGAAGGAGCGCGCGGACCTGCAGGAGGGGTTTGGGCTCTCCGTGCAACACGTGCTGTCCGGCGGGGTGGAGAAGGCGCATGCCGAGGAAAACGGGAGAGAAAGAGCGTGGGGGGAGGATGCTGAGAAGGCGCAGGGGGAGGAGGGACAAGCGAATGGCGGAGCGATGGTTAGGCGTGGGCGCATGGAATATGAGGAGGAGCGCGGGGGCGTCAAGTTGATTGTCATGCATGTTGATGGTGGCGGTGGGAGTAACGTAGCGGATCCAAAGCACATCAGCACAGCGAGAAGAGGGGACGAGCGACGCAGCAGCGGCACGGCTAATGGAGCCGTTGGGGAGCAGCAGAGGGGTAGAGGGGGGAGGAATGGGCAGTGGAGGGAAAATATGAAGGGGCGTGTGTGGGAGAGGTATGTGGATGGCATGGCTTGGATTCTGGAGCATGGAGGGGGGGAAGGGAGGTGATGGAAAGCGCGCGAATCTGGAGAGCGTAACAAGAGATTAAGTCTGCCGACTTCGGCGAACCATTGCGTGCAGCTCACGTAACCTAAAAATATGAGCAGGTACGCGTTGGAAAGGTCTTAATCTCTACGTTCCAGAATATTAAAGCACGCCTTCAACCAAGATCTAGGCCGATCGCTATCGCGATTTAAGTGCGACGGGGTATCCTGGCGGAATCACTTGGCAGCCATGGATTAGATCTAGGAATGGCTTAAGCAAGAGTTCAGATCTGAAAAGTGACGAGTTTGTCAAACCCTACCAACCCAACCCTCGCCCTACAACAATCCCCAACAACCCAAAATGCCAAACTAGCAACACCAAAGGTGTTGTAGTGGGTAGCAAAAGTTTGTTTGTGCTTGTTGGGTGCGAGATAAAATCCAGTCCGCAACAAGTCTAGCAATCATATTTTGCCCAAGCCCTTAGCCCACAACCAGCTAGAGCAAAATACCACAACCACCTACACAATCAACACTCCCCCTTGCTCGTGCTGGAGGTGGCTGAACACCACTGGGCAAAATCCTTCACTCCACTCCCCCTTGCCCAGGGAGGGGCGCCATCCACAGCATGATGTCGTCAAGGCAGAGAAGCACCAGCCCTCCCACATCCTGCTCAGGCACCATGCCAACATGGGGCTGCATTCCTATCAAGGATATGCACACACCATGCCGCTCAAAGGGAAGAGGTTTGGTGAGTATGTTTGCTGCTTGACGGTTGGTTGGGCACCACCGGAGGATCACCTCGCCGCTTGCCACCATCTCCCTGATGAAATGCCACCGAACCTGCATGTGCTTGGTGCGGCCATGCAAGCATGCATTCTGTGCAAGGGCAATGGCAGACTGGTTGTCCACAAACATTGGCACACCACCAGCAAACTCATGCCCAAACTCCCCAAACAAACGCTTCAGCCACACACCCTCCTGAATGCACTGACACAGACTGATGTACTCACTCTCAGTGGTGGACAATGCAACCACCGGCTGCCTCTTGCTTTGCCAAGAGATGGCTGCACCATTGAGGCAATAGACATAGCCGGTGTGACTCTTGCGATCAGCTGAATCTCCAGCATAATCAGCATCACTAAAGCCCACCAACTCGACCTTAGGCTCAGTGTGCGCGGGGTAGAAGATACCTGACTTGACACAACCTTTCAGGTACTTAGCAGCCTGCAGGTGAAATGCCTTGGGACAGGACACCTCCTTAGACAACTGTGACACTGCATAGGCAATCTGGGGCTGTGTGGTCGTGCTTGCATACATGAGAGACCCCACAATGCTTTGATAGAGCTGAACCAGCTCATCTTTCGGCAGAGGCTCCTCAGCATGTGCGTGCACATCGAACCCTGTAGGGAGAGGGGTACGCACGGGGTTAGCCTCAGAAAGGCCAAAGGACTCAAGCATGTTGAGAATGTACCTCTCTTGATGAATCAAGATGCCACTCTCATCACGCTCAATTTGCACCCCCAAATAGTATTTAGCCTCCCCCAGGTCCTTCATGCGGAAACGAGAGGACAAGAGACCCTTCACCTCGTCCAGCAAGACCATGCTCGAAGACATGAGCAGAATGTCATCCACATAGAGGTAGAGGGACAGCCTGCCCTCACACCTCACCAAGTGGTACAAGGCTGGATCACACTCCGACCTCTCAAAACCAAACTCCATCAAAGCCTCATCAAACTTGAGGTACCACTGCTTCAGCCCATAGATTGATTTTCTAAGTCAGCAAACCTTGCCAGACCCATCATCAAAACCAGGGGGCTGCCTCATGTAAAGC